TGGACAAATACAGGCGTCTGGTTGTGGTGAAAAGCAGAACCGATCGGTATTTCCACGAGGACAGGGAGGGTGTAAGTGATCATCATATCTGTTCGCGGCACTAATCAGGCTCACAGCAGCGCAGATCGAATGTGTGTTGCTCAAAGATTTCGACTTCAAGGATGATTATTACCCGAAGCAGACGGATGCTGGAGCATGAGCCCTCCAGCGATAGCTCGGACCATTTGGCCAAGTCGTTTCTCGAGTTGGATGTATTGATTGGCATGGCAACCTACCAACTTTTGTCTGTTCTGTACTATTTGTGTCACGATGTGTTCGTAGCATCCTCCCCCCCACTCAAAAAAGGAGAGTTATAGGTCTGCCTAGGGCAGACAAGTTAAAACAGGCCTTCGACGTTCAATTGACATTGAGAGCGTGTTTTACGTTATGGAGATCCACGTAATCGATGGTGCCTGTTTAAGCAGGAAGAACGCATGTCGAGACCGCGGGGTGAGGAGGGACGAGGACGTGTGCCAAGATGCCAGATACATGGTATCAGAAAGCTAGATGCCCTCTTACGCGCAGAGGGAGGGGAGGATATGGATGAATGATGAGATACGTGTACCACATAATGAAACAACAAGTCCCTAGAGATATTACTATGAAAGACGACCAACTCCAACACTTCCTAAATCACACTCTTTTACATATGGCCTCCGGCAGTGGAAAAATACAAACAAGAATTATGAACTATATGCAAATTGATGGTACTGCACGATAATGTATCAGGTTGAAGGACTCGGTTTGAAGTTTCGCAATGCGTTCGCACGCGAACGGGATCGTGGGGTGCGCCTTTGCTCTTGAGAATGCTGGGAGGGAAGCTTGTCCGAGACAGCCGGTATGCCGGTACCCCGAAGGTGATGTCAATGCGTGGACGTGGATGTCGCTGTTGAACGCGGGGCCACATCGAGCGATCGTCCACGATCCGTATCCTCGACGTCTCCTGCCTTAGCGGTGCGGGAATATTCCGCCGGTAGCTGCGGTACTGGAGGCGGAGGAGAATGGGAGGTTGCCGCAACCGGATATGCCGGAGGATTTGAATACAAGCGGAGAGGGGAGGGGTCCATGCGCGGCTGCGACTGGCTACGGCGATAGGTCTGATTCGCTGAAGGCGTGATCCTCGACTGAGATCGGCTGCGGGGAAAAGGTAGGTTTGGTGAGGATGTTCTACCTAGAGCCACAAACATCATTCCCATGCGTGACGTTCCATGAATAATTGGAACATACTTGTTGGAAGGTCAGCATAACCTCCGGCCGAATTGATCATGCTCAGCGACCTTGGTCGGATGGGCACCCACTGGTCTACATGGACACTTCGTCTGCCGAACTCCTCCACGTTGTTTACGTAATAGCTGCTCCTCGCACCATTCAGGCCATCCTCCAAACGCAGTTGATCGTAAGGGTAGACCTCCGGTGCAAGCGGCGCAGGCAAGACAATCTGGATATTACTGTGTATACTGTGAGGTGGGCCCCGTATAATGCTGCCTTGGCTGCGCGTGCTCTGCGCCGTCCGCGTTGTATTAACAGAAGACACGGTGGAGACCGGTCGCGACTGGGTGCGAGGTGGACCGCGGGCGGTTGGGTGCGATGGAAGTGCTTGGGAAATATGGGAAACACTTTCTGACGCATGAGGCGTGAATGCGCCATCTTCGGACGCAGCAGAGCTTGCGACGCTGATCATACTGGCGTAAGGATTAAGTACTGGGTTTGGCAAGGAGTAGTTTAGGAATCCCACAGGCCCCCACGCAGATCGCACAGAAAGGGCATCATCATTTTCTCTGCCATTGAGGATAGAGCTGGCAGGAGTTAGAGAGCCCTGACTGACAGCTGCACTGAGGTTGTAATAGGTGAGACCGCGCAAGCTGCCTGATCCCGACTCCTGGAATGCCTTGCGATCTACCCACGCCTGGTAGCTTCGCCCATGAACAGGCGGTTGCGCAGGCGGGAGCGGGTTTGACTTCTTGCGGCTGCAAAGGCGGTAGAGAAATCGCCAGAGGAACAGGGAGAATGCGAGAATCGCGATGCAGATACAGACCACGATGATGGCGATGGTCCCGGAGGCGGACAAGCCACCATTGTCGGAGTCTCCGTCTCGAGCGTAGACGTGAGTATCATAATGCATGGCAAGATTGAGCTATCTGACTTGGATGGCTCAATTGATGAAAATGAGTGAGTCGTCGGAATGAGAGGCAAGAAAGAGAGCGTGCGGACTATGCTGGTGCATGGAAGTCTTCTGCAACAGTCCGCATGGAACGAACCACGCGATCAGAGAGTGACCACACAAATTAGAGGTAACCACTCACACGTCGAAGACAACCAAGACGCTGCCTCCGCCGTGACGTTTGGCGACAAACGTCGCGGAGCGAGTGCGATGGCTGACAGGAGGACTCAGCAGACTGGATTGAAATGTTCGCCGCCACACGGTCCACGTGCGCGAGCATCCTGCTACCATGATCGCGATCCCCGCAGTCGGACGGCGCTCGTCGTCTTCGACGATGACGGCGAACATCTCGCATGCACGACGCTCTGTTCGTTCCGTACAATCCTCGTCCTCATCCGTAACAACAATGAGGCCCGCGTCCAAGCCTGTGTCTCTTCCCAGGCGTCTCTGCTCTTCCCACAACTTCCTGCGGAGGCCGAGCTCCCGCCTCTTCTGTTGTCTCCTCGGCAACACCTGCTCTAAACGGCGAATTCATCGCTCTGGCTTTACGTGCATACGTGAACTTGTGGTGGACGAAAATCACGCGTTATGATAAGGAATTCTTGTCTACAATTACACGCATCTTCACCGCGGTCATTCGTGCTCTGGAAACGCGTCTGGTTTCCACTGACCATGCCCCATTCGCCTTCTGAGACATTCCCGCGCTGATCAAACATCATTGCGTCGATGTTCGCGACGCGAGGGTGAAGTTGCGCACTTCGTATGCTTCCGGAGGGCGCTACCTTGCCTCAGCTATTCCACCATCTGCAGCCACATATGGCGATGACTCCCGATGAACCAATAAGTAACGTGTATGTACGACAGGCCGTTGATCACATTTTGAAGGCGTGCCTTCCCTTGGAGAATTACGAATTAGAGCATATCGTGCGCGAGATCGTTCTGAGTGTGCTACTTCGCAATGTCTTACCTCATATCACGCAGCCCTGAATTGTGCAAAAGTTAATGCTGGACAATCATGTGTTAGAAACGAAGTCTCTAGAGGTGAGATGGCTCGCTCTTGGTGCTGAGCTCTCATGTGTCAACTTCGTCGGGCAGAATTCCTAGTTTGAAGGGTGCTATGCGCTTGAGATGGGTCTGCTTTCAGATTCCCAAGACATTTATGACGGTTGATTGCTTGTAATATGCTGAATGAATGACTTTTGCCCAACAAGATAACCTTTACCCATACTACCCGAGAAGCCACTAATGTCTGTATCCATAGCGAACGGACCCTTTACAGACACCTCCAACCGCGTTGTCAGACAAAGCCACAGTACCTCGGAACGCCTTCTTCTCCAGTCTCTGGCCATCTACTTCTTCTCCACAGTCCAGACCATCTCTGGTGCCCGTCTTGCGCTTATTCACGCTTATAGGCAGGCGTGAGACACAATCAGAAAGGTCAATCAGAGTTCTCCGTCACTTTCGCAACAATACTACCCTGGCTTTTCTGGGCCATCTACGCCCAGGCGCAGTACCGAGAACATCACAGCTACCCTATCACTCGTCCCGACTCCATTCGTGCCAGGCGGGTTGACCATCGTT